GAGTGAACCTATTTTATTATATATCCTTTAAATATGAAATATTTTAAGTCATTTGTAAATGATTTATTATATTATATTATTATATATTATATAAACTCCCTTATAGTAGAAAAATAAATATATATTATATAGTAGAAAAAATGATTTATTATATTATATATTATATATTATATATTATATAGGGTTATTGCATTTTTGTGCATGTCGTGGATAGAAAAAATAAAAAAGTCAAATGACGCATGCGCTTAAGAAGTGTTTGAACTTAGCATTTTAGCCCATGAAACCGTTGCAATATTTTATGAGTACTTCTTGCGGTCTGTTCATTTTTATTCATTTATTTTTATTTTTTTAGAAATTCTACAGAAATCTACGATCACTATCCTTTAGGTAAGCACTCTATGATGACTTGCTCCTTGCTCCTTGCTCCTTGCTCCAGAGGCATATCCAGGAGGAGGTCACCTGGTTCACGTAAACTCATGCTCCCCTCTCAAAATCATACTATATAATAGTGTTATATTTTTAAAAAAATATTTAAATATAGATGTGTGAACACACACTCGAAGTATCATATAATGTTGTGCAATGATGATTGGGTGCACCTGAGATTAGAAATATGAATCGTTTATCTATTTTGTTTTATTTTCCTTTCTAAAATTGGGTAACACCTCTCCAAGTGGTTTGGATAGATAGAAAATAATTTTGAACCTATAATTTTAAAATTTTAATGATTTTCAATGATAAGAACCTAAATGTCAAACCAATCAAAATTTATATCTTAGATCCACATTTTCGTAATGGTGCACTCATCATCTCAAAATCCTAGATACACCTCTTTGTTGATTGTGCACATAGGCGGACACATATACATATTTGGGGTGCACGTGCACCTGTTAACCTCCGAAAAAATCATATTATGTATATATATATAAGCATAAAAGTGTCCTTTAAACCGCTGATACATGTTAATATATTCACCCACGTGACAAAGGTTCTATCCCAGCAATAGCTTTCAAACCACACAAAAGACGTAAATCATGCTGAACAAGTCTCATGCGACGAGATCATGAGGCTAAGAGAGAATATGTTATTTTCCTGTTATGTGGACTGATATTGATAGATATATAATAAATATAAGAAAATAAAAACGCGTTTTAAGGAGGGCTCAGCAAGACAGAAGAGAAACAGCTGTTTTCCCTTGCAACAAATAAAACCTCTTATCCTGCATGTGTTATATCTTTACTGTTCTATTGCGCGTTTTTAGATTTCCCCCCTTCTTATTGCTACCTTCTTACTTGTTTCATAATTTTTTTTTAATTTTTAATAGAAATAAAAAAAGAAGTAGTATGAGATAATTGCACCCATAACACCTTAATTTTTTAATAATTTGCTTGAAAAACTTATAACAAACCACCCTTTATTTTAAGAAGAGAAAATATGAGGGTTACGTCAGTCCCAAAAAAATAAAACATTTTTATTATTTAGTTTTAATTTTAATTTAAAATGCGTATTTTAATTTTAGTGAAATGATTTATAGCTACGTAAACATGTACTAACTTATTTTATATCATGCATTTCAAACATATTGTTTGTTTCTTTCTTAAATTTTGTGTCAGTTCAAATTAGATCGTAGAAATTGTACGTATGCTAATGCTAGTAGTGGCATATTAAATATATATATTCCTAAGGCTAGCCCTTCTTCTCTTTGAGAGTACACTTTGTTGCTGCAGAATCCTGGAAGCTGCTAATGACAGAATCCTATGTTAATTTCTCTCTCTTTAGAACTTAATTATTTTTTAATTCATAGAATATTTAGATGCAAGATATGATCATGACGGCATTTCTTCATTCAGACATGTCATTTTCATAATAATAATAATAATAATAATAATGTGCTCTTTCACAAATACATTTTTGCCCACTTCTTATTCATTTACTACTCTAATATTTCTTTTTAATTTGTTGAATTAGCAAGTGTAAACAGGGATCAGAATTTATTGTTTTTGAATGTCTAGGTAATATTCTAAAATTTTTGAGATATGCTTTCTAATTTCGTAATTAAGAATCTAACAACCTCTATACTTCTAAGAGGTAATGGTAAGATCTGTGAATATTCTATCCTCTCCAGACTCCTCACTTGTGGGATTTCATCGGTATGTAATATGTTGTTGTTGTAAGAATCTAACAGGAGAGGTTAGTTTATCAAATAGTTAAGTTTCAGAAGAAATAGAGAAACATATATTTTGGAGTGTGAAAAAAATGTTGAAGAAATAGACAAACAGACTAAACATTGTTGATAAGTCATGAAGGTATCAAATCAGTTTCTAGTCAGCTTTAGTATAATGCAATATTATCCTCATCATTGGTGATATCATTTTAACTAAATAACATAATAATATCAATGTGACGAAATAATTAAGGAGAAAATTTGAGAGAATAACATAGACATACTAAGACTCTATAACTATAGTTTTGATAATAGCGCTTTATGGCTATAGTATTGTTTGAGGTTGCGGTTGTATATTTATGCTTGTTTGTATATTTCGCTTTCGAATATACAGATAGAGTAAGTATATACAAATTATGTATTTATATATTTAGGAATTTTTCAAAACTCTGTTTGTATGTCAATATACAAACAACGTAATTTATTATGTATTTTTCATAAATCGTAATACAAATAACTAGGGTAAACATATACAAAATTCTGAATTTATATAATCAGGAACCGAATTGTACAAATTTTGAATTTATACAAATCAAGCGAATAACAAGACTGTGCAAAACTGTAGTTGCGAATCATAATTTTTCCTAAACACAGTAACTATAGCATTTAATTTGATTTAAATATTTGTTATTCTCCACAATTTTTCCATAATTAAATACTCATTTCGGTTTAATTTGTTTGGTTTATCTTGACTTAACACAATTTTTTTTAAAAATTGAATTTTGTGGTTTTAAACATATCATTTGGAAAGTTAGAATAAAAGAGTTGCTTAAAAGGAAAAAAAATGATAGAGCAAAATATAAATAAAATGAAAAAACAAATAATAATACACATTAAATTAAGCATAAGAAACTAAATAATACTACTACAAATAGTATGTTCATACTACTAAATAAAGTATAAACAAGAAAAGAAATTTAAAATATACTTTGTACAAATCAGAAATCACTTTGTTGAGATAACTTGTGGTTCAAGTCAAGTAATATCAGCGCGTATGTACTTGCGTACTTTTAAGGATCCTTGCTGGTTTCCAGACTGCCCCATTTTGCCTTTTACCTCTATACTCCTTTTTCCCCGAAAAGTATTAAGTAGATATTTAAATTCGTATAAAATTGAATAAGATGCATTCATATGATAATTTGTGTGAGACGTTACATAGGATGTATGTGTGCACATGCACTTGCAGGGGCGGATTTAGGAAGGTGAAAGGGATGTCACGTGACACTGCTTCGTCGGAAAAAAAATACTAAATATGTGTATATAATTAAGAAACAAAAGCAGATACAACGTTATATATTATAAGTGACACTCCTTAGACAAAGAATGCACGTATTGAAGGTTTCGGTTTCAAAATTCACAGCCTCATTTTTCATTTTTTATGTGTTTGTTTTCTTCGGGTTCAAACCTCCACAACCTCATTTTTTGTATTTTTTTTACCTTTTGACCTTCTTTGTTTAGTAGTATGTATTTGGTGCTTTGTAATAACAAATATCTTGTATATTTTTTGTATTTTTTTTTTCTTTTTGACCTTCTTTGTTTAGTAGTATGTATTTGGTGCTTTGTAATAACAAATATCTTATATATATATATATTCTCATTTTAAAAGGATGATACCGCTTACCATAAATTATGCGTACGCCACTGCACACTTGTCAAGTTTATTTAAATTTAAATAAATATTTGTACTATGCATTTAAAAATGAAGGACAAAAATATCCAATAAACCAAGTTAAAAAATATGTTTATGTGTTATGCCTTACGGAAAACTGTCAACTTTTCTCTTCCTGATTTAATTTGTTAGTATTTGACTGCAATTATTTTTTCCAAGCTGTCAAGAAGCTCTAAAAAGTCTTTCGTACGTGAAATAACGTTAAGGGTAAAATTTCATCATTTTAAGCATTAATTGTTCTCTAGAAAAAGAAAAAAAAAAATGTTCCTCAGAGTATAAATGAGACAGGAGCACATGATAGTTTTGACATAGTCTTGATCGATAGGAGAAAAATATATTTTTGAATGTTCTTCGTCTGCTAAATAAGAAAAGTAAATACTTGAGTAAAATAAATAAATAGAACATGTTACATATACTGATTTTGTTTAAAAAATGTGAAATAGCTAGTAGTTGGATATTATTTCAACTCTTAAATACTATATATCCCCTCATTTCAATTTATTTATTTTTTAGTCCATTTTGAAAAGAATAATTTTAGTCGAATGGTGAGGACTGCTTAACATTCGAGCAATTCCGTCTCGTCAATAACATAAAAAAATAATTTAGTTTCAAAAAATTTATTTTAGTTTTAGTAAGATGATTTATAATCACATAAATATCTAAAATTTTATACCACAAATTTTAATTTTTTATTTCTTTCTTAAATGAAATTGGATCACATAAATTAAAAAAATGGAAGAAATATATTTTTGTTAAGCTAAGGACAATATTGTCATTTGGATAGATAGTAAAAAGGTCATTTATCCAAGTTCTACATTGGATTCAAGTACTGGAAAATGTCTGTCCTCCACTCTGATGTTTACAAGTAGATACTCCCTTGACTAAAATGATCTCCTCACTTCAAAGCTCACCACGCCCCCCTCAAAATCACCCTACCCCTACCCCACCCCACCCCCAACTCAAATTTGCCCACACCATCTATAAATAATCATCCCTTCCTCTAACTTCAACATCACTTCATCAATATCCACCTCAAAAACACAAACACAAAAAAAGGAAAAAGAAGCAAATTAAACAAAACAACACTATTCTTTCAAGATTCAAGCAATGGTGAAGACGGAGCAAAAAAGTTTAGTAGAGCCAAACAAGACATCAATGTCAATATCATCATCATCTTCTTCAACATCAAGCAATATCAATAACATGAAGATGAAGAAGAATAAGTACAAAGGAGTTAGAATGAGAAGCTGGGGATCATGGGTATCAGAAATAAGAGCACCAAATCAAAAAACAAGAATCTGGTTAGGTTCCTATTCTACCCCTGAAGCTGCTGCTAGAGCTTATGATGCTGCACTTTTATGCCTAAAAGGCCCTTCTGCTTCTTCAAATCTCAACTTTCCTTTTGACTCTTCTTTCTATCACCACATTGATCATCACACTTCTACAACACTCTCTCCTAAAGCCATTCAGAGAGTGGCCGCGGCTGCCGCGGCCACTCCTCAACAAAATATAGGGTTAGCACTGTCATCTGACAGTACTAACCCTACTATTTTATCATCTCCATCTCCACCACCTTCTTCTTCATCTACTACTACTTCTTCTGAGGATATAAATGATGTTTGTTTATTTCCAAATTATACTTTTGATCAAGAGATGTCAATGATTGAGCAATGGTACAACTTTGATTCACCAAAGTATAATGACATGTTACATGGTACAGTTTTCTTTGATCCACCTTCAATGGAGGATGTTTATTATGAAGAATCATCAGCAGATATCCCTTTATGGAGTTTTTGCTAATCATCAAGATCTCACTTCAATTATTTAATTATTCTTTGAAAGATAAAACAAAAAAAAAGTTTTTTTTTTTTTTTACATGTGATGTCAAGTTAATTTTTTTCTTGAACAACATCACTTACATAGACTAATTTTATTTATAATTATTACTATTAGGGGAAAAAAATTTAGGGACAGTACAGAGAGAGAAGTCATATTTTCTGGACTCTCCCATGTGAGTTCCTAGAAAATTCTTGTTAAAGATATATTCTTTTATAGAAGTGTGTCATATGCTGTATCATTTATTGTGTACTCAAAGTGCAATAAAAAATGGTGGGAAAATATTTATTTTAATTATATGGTTTGGTTTCATTAGACTTTGACTAGCAATGGCATAATTCAATTGAATTGTCCTTCATGATGGAATGATTTGAGACAATGTATTGATGTAATTAAATTGAATAGTTAAGTCATCACACTACAAAAAAAATCATTATTAATTATATTGGATGATTATTTCCGTAAATATTTGATTGAATCAGTGAAAAAAAGAAAAAAATGGTTGAAAAAATCTATTTTCATCATATGTATTTTTGGTGGAAAAATCGTATTTCACAACATAAATTTTTCATCGGTTCGCTTAGATTTTTTTTTTCATCGACTCTCCATTGCATATCAGATTTAGTCTTGATTAACATCATTATATAAAAAAAACCAGTTGTCTATTCAGACGCCAGTCTCATGTCTCACTAATTTGCAATCACTATCACATAACACCAATATATACTCAATAAAATGGAATATTTGGATCAAATATGCTCGTTTTATCCCAAATTAATATTTATTCACTTTTTAATCTTCTAAAACCAGTTTAATCAATTACTCAAAACGTATAATTAATGTTAATAATTTCGTGATCTAAAAATACGATTTAACATTTGTTCGTGATTTTACTTTAAATCTTGCGTAAGTGTTCTCCCTCCCAATGATTCCCTGATTATTTTTTTTACAAATATGATCGATAAAGTGATCATCGAACGAAATGTTGAATTGATTTAATATCAAATATTATATTTCCATACATGATTTACCTAAGTTTACTATGAGGGCAGGTAGAATTTATTTGCTTGGCTTTGATAGATTTTGTAATGTATTTTTAACTTTAGTTTTGTTTGTCAAAGACAAAACTGTCACAGACTTTTGTGTCTGTCTGTGAAACGCGTTTTCACCTGTATATCTTTAAAACATATTTTTCTTTTTTTTTTCTCTCTCTTTTTCTAAGGTAATCCCAGTTACAGCTGTAATTTTTAAGTTTAAATTTTGTCCTTCATCTTTCAACAAAAAATAGAATATTAGTAGCAATTGTATAACAAATTTTGGAATATTTATAGGGGTGGGATGTTCCTAGAAGCAGCCTCTTTTTTTAATTTTTTTTTATTAAATTACATTTTTATCTTATTTTTTATTTAGATATTACTATTAGTTTAGTATGCATATCAATTCAGAATCCAGAAAATAGGGAAGCTACAAAGTTGCTGCAGACAGTTAATTTTTTTTTTTTGTTGGGTCAACTTCACCAGGGGCGGCTCTATGCTTTGTAAAATAAGGGGCTCAAATTTTTGTCAAGAATAAATTATATGTTAAGAATTTTATAGAAAAAATTGATTATTTATGATTAAAAGTATAATATTTTAAAAATATACTGCTTTACCCACTTTAACACCTTTTGTACTTTGTTAAAAATAAGAATTAATGATGAAAACTAAAAAGTGTTGAACAAAGTGAATTATAGATTGTTTTTTGTTTGTTTTAAATTTTAGCTTCAAGCATTACAAAAAACATATTAAAATGGGGTATACCAAGTCATCAACTTCATGAGATTCTATGGTTCTAACTCTTATCTTTATTCAATATTTGTCAACTTATTACTTAGAGAAATAAAATTTGAATAAATATGTCTACAAAGTTTGTTTATATTTTAGGTCTCGAATTGAAATTTCGCTTTAGGCCCCAACTAAATTGAGCCGCCCCTGAACTTCACATTATTTTTTTGAGTTTAGTCTTCTACTAAGAAACCAGTACAATAACAAAACATTGAATCACAGTTACTGAGTACTAACATTTTATTCTCTAGCTGTTTTATTACTTGTCACATTAGTTTATCGATATCGTTGGAACTTGGAATCAGGTCAACACAGGCTATCTTAAGGGTTTGTTTGGCAAAGAGACAAATATTTTTAGAAATGTTTTTTGATTGGTCAAAATATTTGAAAAGCATTTTTTAAAGGAAAATAAGTTCCTTAAAAATAAGGAAAATAACTTTTGTAATAGAAGTTGGAAAAACAAATTGCATAAGTGGTATTCCAAGTTTATTATCTCCTCTCCATCCATCCAGAGGTGTATCCATCAGTGCCAGAGTATTGAGATCAACTAAACTCATTGATTGTATGTTATATCATCCAGTAGTACTAGTATTAATATACACATTTGGTTTAATTATATTAAAAAAAATACAGTGCTAAAAATGTTAGGAATTTCCAATGCGACAAATTTGAAAATTTTGAAAGATTAAATTTATATATATAAAGTGCTATCAATAACCGCTTAGAGAGGTGTTAGGACGTTAACCAATTTTAGAAAGAAAAAAGAAAACTAGATAGATGTAAGATTCAAATTTTATGATACTTAGAGTCATGTGGCTTAACACAACTATATTTAAATATTTTTTTAAAAATATAACACTACTATTTATAATTTTGGAAGGAAAACATGGATTCACGTGAACTTGGTGACCCCTCCTGCATCTATCCAATCTTCCCAACCCCTATTGCCTGACCATCCACCCCGCACCCCCATCCCCAACCTCCACTCCCCGTCTCATTTCGCCTTTATAATATTTGCTAAATAATATTTAAATACTCTTAAAATAATATTTTCTTACTTATTTATCAAATACTAAAAATTACGTAAGCAATCTACTTACCTTCCAAAATAAACATTTAAAAAAGAATCATTTTCCATTGAAAATATTTTCCTTTCTACCAAACAACTTAATTATCACACTTACCAACATGGGTTGTGCTGCACTGGTGGGAGTGCTTCACTGTTAATCATAGGTCTCGGGTTCGAGCCCTGGGTATGGAGAAAATCCTGTTGGAAGCGCCACTCCCGAATGGACCCGCAATGTGCGATCCGGATTTAGTCGGAGCTCCAATGTGGACTCCGGACACCGGACACCGGATGAGAAACCAAAAAATAAAATAAAATTATCACACTTGATTATTAACCTATCTTTCAAGTTGTTAGTAATTTATGTGCTTAAAATCCATTATTTCTCATATATTCTCTAATCCTTGCATATAAATTTAACCGTACATTTTTCTTTTTGGGAAACCAATCCCAATTCTATAACACTCTCACTAAATTGATTGATATCATTCATGGATTATATATCGGTTTACAACACAATCTATTTACTCCCATTGAAATAGACCTAGACTTCTTTAGAGGTAATTAACTTATTGTATTTGTATATTTCCTGGATAATATGTATAATATGTATCAGTAAATACAATAGTGTATATATCGGTTTACAACACAATCTATTTACTCCCATTGAAATAGACCTAGACTTCTTTAGAGGTAATTAACTTATTGTATTTGTATATTTCCTAGATAATATGTATAATATGTATCAGTAAATACAATAGTGTATATATATACATCCACCTCTCTTTGTCCCCGCTCTCTTGCTCGCTCATCTCTCTTCTTCCTCTAACATGTAACTATGAATTATAATTAAGCAACCTATAACTATTTTGACTCATTATTTAAGGCTTTGCTATTTTTGAAAGTTCCTCGTAACTCAATACATAACTTATCACTTGTGAAATTTGTTAGTTTGGAGATGACAATTACTCCTGTAGACAAGGGCCTACAGTTACCAGAAAGTTTTATCACTATATATTGATAGATAAAATTTTAAATAAAGAAATTATTTTAATAATCTTAATACATTTTGTTTGCATATATCAAAATAGCATGATAAAAATACATAATTATGTCCATCTAAGCCATCTCTATGTATTTATTACACAACATGAGGATACATATGACCAATGTTGACTTCGAGGGTGTTTGGATTGACTTAAAAGTTGATCAAACCTACTTTTAAGTTAATTTTTGAATTCTGAAAGTGTTTGGCAAAAACAATAAGTAACTTAAAATAAGTTGAGAAATGTATGGCAAGGTCAAAAATGACTTAAAATAAGTCAAAAACCAAAAGTGAGTCTCCCCCTACTTTTTCTTTTTTGACTTAAAAGTCATTTCCGTTTGACTTTTTATTTTTCACTTAAAAGCTACTCCCTCCGTTTCACAAAGAGTGACCTGGTTTGACTTGACACAAAGTTTTAGAAAATAAAGAAGATTTTTGAATCTTGTGATCCTAAATTAAAGTTATGTCAAATGTACTAAATTACCCTTCAATCTTGTGGCTTTAAACATGCTATGTGGAAAGCTGAAATTAAAATGTTACCAAAAAAAGAAAAAAATAATTCTTTTTGAAATAGACTAAAAAGAAAAGGAGGTCATTCTTTTTTAAACGGAGGAAGTACTTTTTTTAAACCAATCCAAACGGGCCTTATGCTCTTAACTTTATGTCAGTTGAAGTAACATGATAGAACAAAAATCATTAATCTTGAGAAGTACTAATACATTGCTTCAAGCCAAATAAGCACATGGCCATTGTCCTCTAGTCAAATTGTTCTATCTTATGTATTGCCAAGTGTTTCTTTTTACATTGTATATAGTCAAGACTCTTCAACAAGGCACAAAAATATTTGTGGGGCCAAATTTGGAATTTTGTAAATTAAGTGTGTGATTTAATAATTAAAAAAAAGGAACATTTGTCTCTATGATATTTTGGGTTGAATCTCTCCATTTTTGAGACTTTTGTTTTCTGAACTTGTGCACATGAACCACTCTTGTTATATTGAAATTGTTACAACATGCCATGTGAATTGTGATATCGCCGCACTTTTATTTTAACAACAAATCTATT